TGACAATCATGCGTTACAACACCTAACATTGAGATTAATACATACTTGGCATTTTTTCCGGAAAAGTCTACGCAGAAACATCTGATAATTAAAAGTGGAGATGTCATTGCGAGTGTCGTTTGGCAAGCAACCCTCCAGTAACTTTACTATCAGTTCCTGAAGCAGCCGTCCTTCGGTACCTCCGTCCGTCAATAAAGCTTCTTCCAAATCCTACAATTTTGACGTTAACATTGGAATACATTTTGCATATAGTATTCATAGTGAAGTGAAGAGAACAAAATGATGTATAAGCCAATAAATAATAAGATTAAAGCTGAAGCATGACAGCTGTTTCGCTGCCTAAATGCTGAAGCGGTACTAATGGGCTTTACATACGCTGCTTACTCATAAGAGAGTTAGCATTTGATTAGATACCTCAATATCAAAATCCAGAAGATTGAAGGCAGCTCTAAATAATGAGCAAAAGTGTGCTATACTTGGCACCTCCCACCACGATTGAATGTCTAAAAAATAAAGGAACAGTTAAAAGTTCCTTGATCTTAATCCTGCTGTCTATTTGAAATGGACGTTATTGTAACTGTACCCATTTCTTAGACGAAGCTATTTGGAATCTTAACTAAAATTATTTGAGAAAATACTACAGTCTAATTAGCAATAAATCTTAATTCTAAATATCTTCCATTTGAATACATTGAGAAAAGTTTCTTTTTCCAAATATTTATACCCTCTCCAAACAATTTACATTACACTTAATAAAAATGATATTCTTTAAATTGAAATACACAACTTTTAATTACTATCTTTTTTTATTAAACAAACAAACAAAGATAAATGATACGTTTAAAAATCTAAACTGAAATGGCTATTAAATACAAAATAATTTTTCTTCAAGATTACGTCTGTCTTCAAGTTTCTTAAATTCTAACACGATCAATAATTATTTTTATTTTTCTATACTTAAATATAAAAATTTGCGAAAAACTACCCCTGGACTTGATTTAATTTATCAAAACACAATCATCTATTCATAACAATTAATATACCATTCATTCTACAAATCCACCTTAATTCATTTCATTAATTCCGATCAAAGATACACGATAAAAGACAAACGATAAGAGATAACTTAATTACTGAAATGGAGCAATGACTTTTACAATTTTAAACATCTGTAATTACATGTCAAATATTCCAATAAAAAAAAAAAAAAAAATCTTTTAAAGTATTCAACGGAGAAATAAATTCATGCAAATTTCTGGAATGGATATTATACATTGATTGAGTAACAATTATATATAAAATATAAATGTACATCGTTCAATCAATTTCCCTCGACTTGAAACATTCAAGATCTCGTGACAGAATAAACTTCACAATAAAAAAAAAAAAAAAAAAAAAAAAAAAAAATACAAAATGTTTTGAAATAAATTTCAATAGAGAAATAAATTCATGCAAATTTCTGAAATAAATATTATATATAAATTCAGTAATAAATTGATAAACGTTCAATCAATTTCCTTCGACTTGAAACACTCAAGATCTTGTAATAGACTAAAGCAGGAGAATATCTCGTAGCTGAAGATCGGGAAGATCTCGTCTCTATACCTGCTGCCACAAACTATTTCTAGTATCGCTTACAGCGTCGCAAAAAGGAATAATATAGATACAGATACATATCGGCCGGCAATTCGTCACGCGTGCCGTCCGGTGGGACGACCGGCGCGACGGTGGACTCACCTAGGATCCCGATGAAGGTGGGAAACATAACCCGTCGTGTGGCGGGCGAATCGGGCGAATCAGCGTGTCCAGGGCGGGACACGGACGAGCTCGATGGAGGCTTGGCGTCCAAGTGTCAGGGAGGTGTCTCCGAGCTGCGACGATACGAGCGCGGGTTGGCTTCCTCGGTGGGTCGTACCCGACGACCCCGTCGACTCGGCGGGTGATCGCCAATGGGATCGAAACGGCGGTAGCGGCGATCTAAAGGCCCCGTGTTAACCCGTGTAGCGCACGAACTGCGCGCGCGACGAGAAAGATCGAGCAAAACACTTCCGCCGCCCGGCCGTGTATGTATATATATGTATAATTGTACGTGAGATATATATATACATACGTATATACGTATATATATGTATGTATATATGAATATACGTGTATACGAGTGCGGAGCCCGTATCTCAAAGCATCGGGATGCACATCACAGCGGTGAACGACACCAAACGACACCCGGTGGCCTCCTGGTAGGGTGTGCGCGCGAGCGCGAGCTCGCTAAGCTCGCTTGGCCGAGTAGCTCGCGAGGAATATTGGCGACGGTATTGCACGGAGGAGGCGGCCGTAGCGGCGCAGGGCGCACTCGCCACTTGCCGCTCGAGTTCGCTGGTTCCGCTTCCCGTGCGGCGTACCACCGAGAACGGGAACTACTGCGTACCGTCGGTCGGCGAGGATTTATCTCGCCGGGACACGACCGTCGTGTGACGGCTCGCGGGAGTCGCGCGCGACCATTCCCGTCGGGACGCACGGCGCGTTAGGCGCGCATCCAAAACACATAATCGCAAACCCGCCTCGGCGACCGCCTTACGGGGTTTTGCTTCGCTCAGCTTTGCTAGCTGGCCGCTGCGCTGGCGAAACACGCGCGCGCGAACGCGGGGTCTCCGAAGTCCGTAACGACGCTCCTCGACGCTCCTCGAAAGCGGAAGTCGCCTGCGCGCGCTCGGCGAAGGGCGCTCGGCTCGGATAGATATCGACAACGCATACGCGTACGCGTTGCGTTGCGCTGTATTGCGCTGCGTCGCGGGCTTCCGCTTACCTCCGATCACAATACGACGTAAACCAACGGGCACACGGGCGCGGACTAGCCGGACTAGCGCGGACACGGACTATGCAGTCGCAAGTCGCAACAACTGCCGAGAGTGGGCAAGTGTGTAAAGTGCAACCTGCGGGCAGCGGGCGTACAGTTGTACGCAGTGCAGTGCATCAATTCGTTGGATCATAAAGGGTGTCCCAAAATTAACGCAAGATTTGAATTAAATAGAAAACAGAGCTTTTAGTCTTTTGATTGTTATTTTTTTATTGAATCATAAAGTACATAGGATAGGGTTATTTGTGGACTAACACATCGGGCAAATGGCCTCCACGGCTTTGCATGCACATACGCACTCGTTTGTCGAAATTTTCCATGACCATTTTGCATAAATGTGGCTGAATTACGTTGATGCAGCATTGAATCTCCTCCTTTAATGCACGGGTGGTTGTGGGCTTGTTGACATAGACCTGTGATTTCAAATAACCCCATAAAAAGAAATCTAATGGTGTTAAATCACACGATCTAGGGGGCAATTTTGGCGATTAACAAAGCCAAGGTGAAAATGTGCTCCATCGCTTAGGATGATTTTGCTCGAAAAATCAGCATCCATTTGTTGATGATTCAATAATCCATTCAACGAACTCATTTTCACTAACCCTAAACTGTCAGCTGTTAAATTGTTTTTTTTTTTGGGTTGCCAACACTTTACTGCACAAATGGCGGCAAATTCAAATCTTGCGTTAATTTTGGGACACCCTTTAGTTAGCGGCCCGACTTATCGAGCATATAAGAAAATGCAGTACTAAAGAGCTGATGAAAAATTCTGAAAAAATTCTTAGAGTTCTATGAGAGGAAAATTAATGATTTTCGTCTCTCGCAGTTTTTCTGTAAAGTTGATAGTATTTAAGTAAAAAATAAATCGTTGATAAATCGGGCCGCTACTATGCGAATTAATGCACTGCAGTGTACACCCTCGAGCGCGCAGTACGTAGAAGGTCCTCGACGTCGTATTGAGAGACTTCGAAATTCTTCGTGTAGAATCATATACGGGCACCGACGAGATGCTATTAAAGACCGACATCCTTACGGGAGTTCGCGTCCATGTGAATATTGTAAGTAATTAAGAATTAAAAATTGATAATATTGCACGAATTTTATGATTTATTAGTTTAATAGACGTGATCAGAGACTACATCAGCTATTCGGATGCACAAAAATTCTGTATTTTTCGTGTGAAAGTAACAGAACAAATAAAATATATGTTTTAATCCTTCATTGGCATTTGGATAAAGAAGAACGAACTAATTGTCGGGAATCATCAACTTGGAATTTGCTATGTAATTTCTTTTTACATTTTATATTGATAAGGACTCGAATTGAATGTAGGCTCTGATGGGCTTTTTTACATTTTCCAAATATTTATGTTAATAATAGCAAATTTATATCAATTATTGATAATGTCAGCATTCTTCAATTATCTCCGGACCCTTAGGGCCCTTTTTATACCGTCGAAAATTTGTCCAGCTTTGACGGTCTTTAATAATATCTCGTCGGTGATACGAGTCTGTTCGTTTTATATCAACTACTACGTTTCATTTTACTTCCTTCTCGTTTCCTCCAATGTTGTGAGAAAAGGAGGAAAAGTAAACGGTGCAAGAAGTTCAGCTAAAAGGAACAAATTCTATTGTAGAATCACGTACCAATTGGCTCGGGACAACCGTGAATTCGTGGCTGTAATTGGTCGATTTGTTCAACCGCTCAAACACTTGTCTCTTTCGTTTCTTCCCGCCGTAGGTTTTGCGCGACAATCTTCATAATTTATTAGGCCCGGTTCTATAAATGTAAAATTAACTTTAATCCCGGTTTAACTTACCGTATATTTTTATTTAATTTTAAGGATTCTAATTTTAAAAATTCTTAGAATTTGATACAGATAAACAGCAGTGAGTTAAATCGAAGAAATTAAAGTTAATTTTACATCTGTGGAACTGGACTTTAATCTTATTATACATAACATTATTTAAAACTATTTTAAATCTGATATTAAAAATATCTGCTTACGAATATTAAACAGTAGACAATTTGGAAACGAGATTTGAAACGATATGTGATCGGTCGTGAAGTGAGTTGCGACACTTGCGACATCTTTATATTTCGCAACATTCTACGATCGTAATTGTTTGTGTTGTCTGATTGCTGTGTTTCATCTGATTTCATCATTCATTCCTTCGATTCAGGAATTCGGATTCTCGCGTTCAGCCACAATCGAATCATGGCATCAATCGTCGTACCGGCGGTATTTCGGTTTAGTCGTGTAACGGCCGATAATTTCTATCAAATAAATAAAAATGGCTTACGCAGGTAAATTGTCACTTTTTTTCGCTGACGCGAGTCGCAATCAAATGCATTGCTGAGTCACATGTCGAATCGGCACATTGAGGTTAACCGTATATTACTTATTGTTTTGTTTCCTTTTCGGCAGCATAATTCTCATTAATTAATATTAAGGCTAATTAATTTTTGTTAACTTTCTCATGACCCGAAGTGTCTACTACTTATAAACAATTTGTCTATTCTATACGTAAAAAGTGAATTTAGAATCTCTTGAAATTTTTGTAGTCTAACAAATCAAATTTTTATTTTTATATACATATATAGACAATACTAAGTGTTTTTCTTACTTTATTTATTGGTAAATAACTTAAAGATATTGTGTGAGATTGTGACAGAGGTGATATATGTTTTTGTAACAGATATATTTTATTTGTAATATATTATGTAAAAAAAAACAACGCTTATTTTTAAGACAATGAAATAAGGTTTCTTAAAAATCTTTTATAAATAATATTTTAATTGTGATTCTTAAATAGTTTAATTATCTGGAGTAAGTTTTACCTATTATTATTTAAACTCTCGTATATATGTATTTATATAGTAAAAATATATTTATATAAATAAATGTAAAATTACAGGTTGCCACAAGTATCCTCTGCATTTTCTTGGCAGAGGCAATATTTTGGCACAATAACGGAAGAAAAGAAACCAGTTACTGATGCACCTCCTATATTAGAAGCAACAGAGAATGAAAAGAAACTGAAAACTGAACTGGAGCTTATTAACAAAGAGTTAGCTGAACTTAAGGAGTCTAAAGATACATTGGAAGATAAATATAAGAGAGCATTGGCAGAAGGAGAAAATATCAGAGTCAGACTCACCAAGCAGATTAACGACGCCAAACTTTTTGGTATTCAAGGCTTCTGTAAGGATCTTTTAGATGTAGCCGACATATTGGGTAGAGCTACTGAAAGTGTACCAAAAGATGAGATAACAGAGCAAAATCCACATTTGAAAAGTTTATATGAGGGTTTAGTCATGACAGAAGCTCAGTTACATAAAGTAAGATATATCTTCATTTTAATGAGAAACACACGTAATGTGACTTCAAATGAGGATATTAAATTTTTTATTTTTTCTTTAATTTAGGTTTTCAAGAAACATGGCCTAGTTTCATTGAATCCAGTAAATGAAAAGTTCGATCCTAATGAACATGAAGCATTATTTCAACAAGTAAGATTCATATAATAAATAAAGGTATAAAATGATAACTTTTATGAATAATGAATATTATTTTCAGGAAGTTGAGGGCAAGGACCCTGGCACAATTGTAATTGTATCGAAAGTAGGATACAAATTGCACGAAAGAATAGTGAGACCAGCATTAGTAGGTGTTGCTAAGGGATAACTAATGTAAAGATAGATAGAGCATCCATTTTATGATAAATTGTAAAATCCTACAAAGTTCAGTATAAAATATTGCTGTACATTGTAATTTCCTTTTAAATTTTTATTTAAAATATAAAATAGGAACCAATCTGGTAATACAAAGTGTAAAAGTAGCAAAAAAATATATATATGCTACTTTTATGTAAACATTTGTAGCATTATATATATATATATATATATATATATATATATATAGAAATTCTTTTTTTAAAATATATACGTTATTTTCCATTACGCATACATATACAATTTAATTTTACAAGGAGCTTATAAAAAAAAGCGATAAAATCTAGACAAAAATAATGATGCATATTTATCTTCAGTTTGTAACATATCTTGACATAAAAAAACCAAGCATAAGATCATAACTGTACAAATCTATATAATATTAAACACTTGCTGTTAAATTTGAGTTTATGAATCAATCCTCATATAAGAAAAAATATACATTTTTATATATTCGTAATTTAACATCTCTCAAATACTTTGTACAAGTTCGGTAAACTGGCTATTTGTAATATTGTTGAATCGTGAGCAAAGTGTTTCGGTGGAAGTAAACTTTCTTTAATTGCCGGATACAAAACATGTTCAGTTACATATTTCCAGTCATGTGTCTGATGCTTCGGACTGATATAACTGTAAAATTTTGCCGTTTCCCGGCAAATATTTTGAAAACATAATTGTTCCTTTCTCCAGTCGACTTCCGTTGCTAGTCGCATTATATACAATGGAATTTCCGCTTCGTATGGAAAATATTTATCTAAAATATTATTAGCATATGTACAATTTATTTTTATGATAATATAACAGTATTCGATGTTATATTTACCTAATAATATGGGCAACGATCTCAAATTTCCTACTTTATCCATAACAATCGAAAAATATTCGTTCATCATATCTGCCTTTTCTAAAAGTAATTCCTTCACCCTCGCTGCCAATTCTTCCTTTGGTCCGTCCTCTTCTGTCCATCCAGTTTCTCCCGAATCTAAAGCAATCATTGCTAAATCGAACAATGATATTCGTTCCTAAAAAATAAATTCACGCGTGCAATGTTAAATGGCTATAAAATAAACTTAATTTGTTGCACCTGAAATACGTACTGAAAATTTGATAATGCCAAAATTAGCAAAATCATAAAGCATGATTTCATAAAAAAGCTCCTCCCTGAAAAAATATTATATCTTAAGATATGAATAAGTTTATATTACATTTTTATTATGCAAAATTATAAAAATTTCTTACGTTAATTTTCTAGTATTGCATATATATAAATTCACTCCACTCTGTATCAAAGCTGAAGTTTGATCGATGCAGCCAACAAATGTTAAATTAGCTAAAATGTCTCGTAATCCTTCGTGACATTCATCTTCAACATCCTTACGTAATTTCAGGATACTGGTTAATTTTACTTCGTGTTTAAAGTTATTCACAGAATATGATTTAAATTGCTGTGTAAATTTCGAAGATTCATCAGCAAAAGTATTTGTCTCAGTGGATGATCTTTCAGATTGACTTACATTACATATTGAACTTTCACCTTCTTCCTGATTATTCAATGTCTGTTCTTTTTCTTTTTCCGAATTTTTCTTTACATTTTCGATAATGTCTCTATTTCCAAAATACTGATACACTTGCTTACGAGCCTTATCAGCTATAGTATCTACAGGATTATCTTTAGGATCATCTACTTCCTCATCTGAATCTTGTAGAAATTCTGAGATGTCAAACGTGAGGTTCTCTGGACAGACATTTTCCAATTTGTCTTGTTGTGCGGAGTTATATGGATCGCAAGTGTTTTGCGAGTCCAACGAAGATTTGGTATCTAATATATCACTCCAATCCAAATCTCGTGTTAAATTATTATCAGTTAGAGTTTTTTTGGTAGGTAATAATGTAGAATTGTGTTCTGCGACATTTAAATTCGAGTCTTCCTCTTGACATTTATTGTCAGCAGATGGATTTTTCATAATAACATTAGGTACACTTTCTCCTAAACTTTCAGAATTAAGAGGTTTAGGATCATTATATGTTAATTCTTTCGTTAGAGTATTACTGTCACTCTTACGTTGTTCGAAATGTATGGTAAAATTAAATTTGTCAAGTTTTTGATCAGACGAATCTGTCCTAATCATCTCCTTAGCGTAAATCTTTTTTAATTTATCTGAATTTTTATACTCTGGTAACACCTCTTCTAGGACTTCTTTAGTAATGTCTGCTTTCGGTAATCTAGCTTGTAAGTAAAACGTTCTAGACGCGCTGTTACCAGTTAGTCTTTCATCTAACGCGAATTTTATTCTTTCAACTATCGTATCTTCGTGAAGAAATCGAACTTCGTGTTTCGTCGGATGTACATTAACATCAATATTCTGTGGATTAATATCCAAAGATATATAACACCACGGATGAGCTTTTTTCGGAAGATATACAGAGTACACGTCTTCTAACATCTTATGGATTGCTGCAAATAAATGTTCATAAACATTAAAATTTTGACAAATTAGAATAGATAAAAATTGAATATATGTAACGTTAAACTTACAAGCAGAATCGACCAATCGATTGTTGATAAAAAGCAACATCACCATTCGCTTATTTGTATAATTTGGATTTGTCACTAAACCGTGCATCTTAAATTTATAATCCTTGTCGTCAAGCTCAACTTCTAACAGTTCACGAGCAACAGGATTGCCATACAATATCCTTATGTTATTCTGTTTAGTGGAATTATGTGGCGTTCGAACCTGAAATTGTATTTGAACAATACATGCTTTCAAATATTTTATTTTTAAATGTATTGTTTAGATCATGCGTCTACTGCATGTTGTATATTGTATACAAAATGATTCATCTTACTTGTGAACTCGGCCCGCTATGTTTTTTTAAAGTAAATCCTACTGTTGAATTATGTACAGCATATCTCATAACTACTTCTGTAATTTTGGTAAATTCCTCCGATGGATTTGACAAAGCCTTTCTACGAGTTGCCACATTATAGAATAGATTTTCTATTGTTATTACAGTGCCTTGATTTCCAGCACAAGGCACTGGAGGTGCTTTTAGTTTGCTGTTAATATATGATGCTCTGTAATAATATACGGCAAGTATAGCTTAGCTAATCTTTCTTTCTCTGTATGAAATAAGCATTACATTGTTAATGAAATATACATACTTATAGGCGCATTTTTCATCTGCTGTTTTTGTCGTGATAGTAAGAAGAGCTATGTGACTAATACTGGCCAGAGCTTCTCCTCGAAACCCAAATGTCGTAAGAGCACCGAGATCTTCGAATTTTTGCAACTTGCTTGTAGTAAATCTTTCACACACAATCTCCATATCTTCTTTTCGGATACCAGTACCATTATCCTGTATCTGAAATTATAAATTAAGTTAGAGGTACATATGAATATAATTTAGATGTGTTTAATGAAAATATATTTAATAATTGAAATTCTAGTATGTACCTGTAGTAGCTTTAAGCCTCCTTCTTTCGCGGTGATTTGTATGTTCGTTGCTTTGGCATCCAAACTGCAACATAAAAGTAAATTTCTTGTGAATGTGCATGTAGTAGACGATAATTTTCAAAAACTAACCTATTCTCTATTAATTCCTTTAACGCATTTGCTGGTCTTTGGATTATTTCTCCAGCTGCGATTCTGTTCACCACGACTTCGTCTAATTTTCTAATCTTCGCTGGCGTACACATGATACACGTGATATCAATTATTAATTAATAGAAAGTGGCAAAAATAGCTTTTTCAATATCTGTTCTTAGATGTAAACATATAAAGCATAATCCAGGAACATAATTCAATCTCGTAAATTGATAATCTAGTTAGGGTTGTTATATGATAAGTTTTACGTTCAGTGAGAATTTTTTTAAAGAGCTCTTGAATAAATTTTTAACGAAAGATTCTTCACAGACATATCACTGGCGCCCATTTTTAAATAAATAGGTTAAAAATTAAGTCTGCAATATTACCAACAAATATAATTGATTATAATGGTTGATAAGTTTCCTGCCGTCGATAATTAAGGACATTATTTTATCGACACGACAAAATTGATTTAAAATATACTTTCAGCCGCAAAAATTTAAATTCTTACAAACTGTATGTATGAAGCAAAGTATTAGGCACAAAAAGTAATATAATCAAAACTCTTCAAGATTTGCATTTTTACAAGTTTTTACTTCAAATCAGAAATTCATTCTTGAAATATAGATTATTTGTGTCATTACTTCATATTATCACCGACGAGATGATATTGTTTATTTTATTTCTTTTTTTATTTCTTTTTTTACTTCTCTCTTTTTTACTTCGTGAATGTTTATCATTTTTTTTCATTATGACTTCTTTTTATTTTCTATATTTTACTCTTTTTGTCATTTTCAGGTTTAATTGTTTTATATATTATATACATATACAGGGTGTTCCGAAAGTTTTTGCCAATCACTTTTATGTAGATAGAGCGGAACTAAACTGAATCGAAAAGTCCTCTACCATTTGGCAATTTTTAATAATTAATATCTTGTTAACTATTGCGAAAATTGCAAAGTGGTAGAGGACTTTTCAACTCAATTTAGTCCGCTCTATCTACACAAAAGCGATTGTCAAAAACTTTCTGGGCATCTTATATATTATGTATAATATATAATATTTACGACACAATAGATCTTCAAAAAATGAAGAAAAGATGTATACTACAAAAAAAAAGAGATAAGATTACATATTAGATGCTTTGGGATGGAAACAATTTTTTCATGTTATTTTGTTACATGTCCCAGGATTCTGTGCTGTTTATGTGCAGAGAAGAGACAGAGACAGAGAGAGAGTCTCAGAATTTAGAATCAATTAAAATATTTCTTAGTGCGCGAAAATTAATCTGCTGATTGATTCTTTAGCACATTTACAGAAATAGATTTACAGAATTAGTTTTCTTGTTTTTTTTCTTGATTACTATTATATTATATTTCTTGTTTTTTCTTGTTTTTTTCTTGATTACTATTATATTATATTTCTTGTTTTTCTTGTTTTTTTCTTGATTACTATTATAAT